AGAGGTTCTCGCTGCTCTCTGTGTGGGAAACAGAAGGAGAGTTAGGGAGGGATTGAGCACCTCCACCCCCATCTCCATCAGCACCTCATTCTTTGATGCAGACCACTTGTGCTTTCTCACTTTCAATAAAGTGCTGTATGCAAAAGCAACTTCAAGCTCCCTACCCCGCCTCTCTAAACTGTTCTTTCTAAACCTGTACAACAGAAATTCTCTAGCTGCAACTGGAGGGGGATGGGAGAGAGCATGGGGCCCTGAGAGCCAGCATCCAGCCCCCATTTTCCTATTTGCTTGCTTTGTGGTCAGGATGACCTGTTTGGCCTTCTTCTTTTTTTTTTTTTTTTAACATCTTTATTGCAGTATACTTGTTTTACATTGTTGTGTTAGTTTCTGCTGTATAACAAAGTGAATCAGCTATACGTGTACATATATCCCCATATCCCCTCCCTCTTGCGTCTCCCTCCCACCCTCCCTATCCCACCCCTCTAGGTGGTCGCAAAGCACTGAGCTGATCTCCCTGTGCTATGCAGCTGCTTCCCACTAGCTATCTATTTTACGTTTGGTAGTGTATATATGTCAGTGCCATTCTCTCACTTTGTCCCAGCTTACCCTTCCCCCTCCCCGTGTCCTCAAGTCCATTCTCTACGTCTGTGCCTTTATTCCTGTCCTGCCCTTAGGTTCATCAGAACCCTTTGATTTTTTTTTTAGATTCCATATATATGTGTTAGCATACAGTATTTGTTTTTCTCTTTCTGACTTACTTCACTCTGTATGACAGACTCTAGGTCCATCCACCTCACCACAAGTAACTCAATCTTGTTTCTTTTTATGGCTGAGTAATATTCCATTGTATGTATGTGCCACGTCTTCTTTATCCATTCATCTGTCGATGGACACTTAGGTTGCTTCCATGTCCTGGCTATTGTAAACAGAGCTTCAATGAACACTGTGGTACAGGACTCTTTTTGAATTATGGTTTTCTCAGGGTATATGCCCAGTAGTGGGATTGCTGGGTCGTATGGTAGTTCTATTTGTAGTCTTTTAAGGAACCTCCATACTGTTCTCCATAGTGGCTGTATCAATTTACATTCCCACCAACAGTGCAAGAGGGTTCCCTTTTCTCCACACCCTCTCCAGCATTTATTGTTTGTAGATTTTTTGATGATGGCCATTCTGACCCGTGTGAGGTGATACCTCATTGTAGTTTTGATTTGTATTTCTCTAATGATTAATGATGTTGAGCATTCTTTCATGTGTTTGTTGGCAATCTGTATATCTTCTTTGGAGAAATGTCTATTTAGGTCTTCTGCCCATTTTTGGATTGGGTTGTTTGTTTTTTTGATATTGAGCTGCATGAGCTGCTTGTATATCTTGAAGATTAATCCTTTGTCAGTTGCTTCGTTTGCAAATATTTTCTCCCATTCTGAGGGTTGTCTTTTCATCTTGTTTACGGTTTCCTTTGCTGTGCAAAAGATTTTAATTTCATTAGGTCCCATTTGTTTATTTTTGTTTTTATTTCCATTTCTCTAGGTGGTGGGTCAAAAAGGATCTTGCTGTGATTTATGTCATAGAGTGTTCTGCCTATGTTTTCCTCTAAGAGTTTTATAGTGTCTGGCCTTACATTTAGGTCTTTAATCCATTTTCAGTTTATTTTTGTGTATGGTGTTATGGAGTGTTCTAATTTCATTCTTTTACATGTAGCTGTCCAGTTTTCCCAGCATCACTTATTGAAGAGGCTGTCATTTCTCCATTGTATTCTCTTGCCTCCTTTGTCAAAGATAAGGTAACCATATGTGTGTGGGTTTATCTCTGGGCTTTCTATCCTGTTCCATTGATCTGCATTTCTGTTTTTGTGCCAGTACCATACTGTCTTGATTACTGTAGCTTTGCAGTATAGTCTGAAGTCTGGGAGCCTGATTCCTCCCGCTCCATTTTTCTTTCTCAAGATTGCTTTGGCTATTTGGGGTCTTTTGTGTTTCCATACAAATTTTGAAATTTTTTGTTCTAGTTCTGTGAAAAATGCCATTGGTAGTTTGATAGAGATTGCATTGAATACGTAGATTGCTTTGGGTAGTAGAGTCATTTTCACAATGTTGAGTCTTCCAATCCAAGAACATAGTATATCTCTCCATCTGTTTGTGTCATCTTTAATTTCTTTCATCAGTGTCTTATAGGTTTCTGCATACAGGTCTTTTGTCTCCGTAGGTAGGTTTATTCCTAGGTATTCTATTCTTTTTGTTGCAGTGGCAAATGGGAGTGTTGCCTTAATTTCTCTTTCAGATTTTTCATCATTAGTGTATAGGAATGCAAGAGATTTCTGTGCACTAATTTTGTATCCTGGTACTCTACCAAATTCACTGATTAGCACTAGTAGTTTTCTGGTAGCATGGCCTTCTTTTTTTCAGATACAAAATGAGGGGCAGGACTCTCTGATGGCCCTTCCGGACCTAACAAGCAAAAGAGGCTCTGCATGCCTGGGAAGCACTTGGGGAGTGAAATCTTGGCACCCAGACATGTGTGTTCAACACTAGACCCTGTGGTTCTCAGAAGTCAAGGCAGACCTTGACTGCTGTCCCCACACCCCAAGCCTCTAGTTCTGATACAGATTTGCTTCTCACATTCAAAAGAAGCCATTTTCCTTCTCTTAAGTCCTTTTAATGACCATAGAAATTTCCCAGGGACAGACATTCGACCAAATCTTGAATATACTCTAAAGCCTGTATTTAGTCATGGACCACTATGTATTAGTCTCCTAAGAGCTCATTGACTTCAGTAAGTATTGTACCTGAAAATGAGACCATTACTTGTGCTTAAATGAAATTCATGAATATATAAATGAGTGACTAAAGCAAGCCTTGATTTTTAAAAAAGTAACTCTTCAGATCTGTTCAGCCAGGATAACGTACGTTAGTTCCTAATAGGTTCCTGTGCTCCCCAGCTCCTCCTGCTGTAATGCAACTATCAGGAGAGGAACCTTCCCTAAGGCTTTGCTACTAAAAGTGGGGTCCGTGGACCAGCAGCAGTGGCATCACCTGGCAGTTTGTTAGACATGCAGTATCCTATCCCAGACCTACTGGTTCAGAATCTGCATTTTAGTAAGATCGCAGGCGATGTGGCTGCACGTGACAGTGTGAGAAACACTAGAGCTGAAACACAAATATGACTATGCCTTTCCCCAGCTCTCAAACCTCCAAAGGCCGCCACCACCCTGAGAACAAAGCCCTAGCTTCTCCTGACATTCAAGACCTTCAGTGACCCAACATCCATTTACCTGCCATGCCAACTCTTCTCCTCGTGTCCTTATACTCCAGCCAGACCGAACCCTTCATGGCACCCAGCCCTGCCCTCTGCGTCTTTGCTTACATGGTTGATGCCTCCGTGACCATCATTCCTTGATGCGTCAAGATGACCAGCTTCAAGAGTGAGCCCCACCTCCACCTCCGCCGTGAAGCCTGTTTGATTAAATCCTTCCACTGCCCTAATCCCCACAAGGTTGTGTCTGAACCTCCAAGGGAACTTCATACTTTTTACTTTTTTAACCCTTAAATTGTTACTTATGTATAATTAGCTTATAAAACGCACCTGAAGTATAAAATCTTACCTGATTAATTTTTTACCTTTGCCAGTAAAGGGGGGCTCAGTAAATAGCTTATTAAATGTTTGAATCTATAGACATATACATGAATGCATGAATAAATGAATATGTTAGTACATATATTTCAATACCATCCATAAATAAATGAAAGCAGTCCTTGGATTTATTTGTTCCAGGTTCAGGTTGCTAAAAGTTCTTAAAATGGCACTTTGAGAAAAAAAGATTTCTAACTCACACAATCATTTAGCTACATCTGTGGTAGCTCAGGGAAGCAATCACATGATTTTCATACTAACAAATGAAAAAATGTTATAGTGGTTATACAGGAGACACGGGGAAACACGGAGTCAAAATGAGCCAGTTTCCAGCATAGTGCAAGAAGCTTTAGTCAAAAGGAGTAAATTATGGTCCTTTCTGCGGCTAAATTTTTCACCAACGTGAGATGAATAAACTCCTTCTGGAAATTACTCTTATGAAATTACTTCTTCCAGGACACTTAATAGTATATTCTGGTGCCCCTGAAAAATTAATTAACCTTATCCATAACAACCTAACCCCTAAACCATTTGCGCTGTTTTTACTGTAGGTCAGGTTAATCTTCTCTACCTTAATTTACATCTAAGGGAGGGTGGTCTAAATTACACTGGGGCCTTTTGGTTCGCCGGTCCTTTGCCTTGTGCCATTTTTTTAGATGACATTCCGCTCACATCCAAATGTATGAATCTTTTTTAAAATGGCAAACCTCTGAGATTACCAGGGAGAACTTTTCAATTTTTGGGTGGTGAGGGGAACAGGGGCCACACTGCTGTCATCATTATAGGTCAAGGCACAGTCGCAATAAGGGGATGGACATGGCTGTAATTCTCTTGTCTGGTCCTATTGTGGATTTTTTTTTTTTTTTCCCAAGAAAGCCTAGATTTTCAGAGTCTCAGGACCATAAACATATAGAGACCAGGCTCTGAGACTGGCTTATGGTTCAACAGCAGGATTTGCCAATCCTCTTCTCGCTTTTGTTTATCCAAAAGATATCTAAAAAGTACACTCAAGTAGTGATCAGAAGACAAAGAAAAGTTACTGAAAATACCACAACTCTTGAGCTAATAAGGAGGACCTCTGGTTATTTGCTGTGGGAGCAGAATCTTCCTCTAACTCTGTGATTCTGGAATGTTGACACTTAAGCTGTGGGAGTTTTATTTCTCCTTTGAGAACAGACACATAGCATTGCCATTTCTTTTTTTTTTTTTTTTTGTTTTTTTGCGGTACGTGGGCCTCTTACTGTTGTGGCCTCTCTCGTCACGGAGCACAGGCTCCAGATGCGCAGGCTCAGCGGCCATGGCTCACGGGCCCAGCCGCTCCGCAGCATGTGGGATCTTCCCAGACTGGGGCACGAACCCGTGTCCCCTGCGTCGGCAGGCGGACTCTCAACCACTGCGCCACCAGGGAAGCCCTTGCCATTTCCATAAAAGAAAGATTTCTGAATTGGCTCAGAATTGAAAAATATTATTACCCCCCAAATAGTAATTATTCCGTGCTGCTTTAGCAAACAGAATTAGTATCATTAATACTTATTAATAACAATATACATATCAATAATGATGAGGCAATCAACTGATACAAATGCATTAGGACACAAATAGTGCAGAGAGAAAAAATATTTTCTCTAAAAGAAAAAAACAGTAGCTCTTTGTAGAAAGGATTGCTGGTCTTCTAAAAATGTGTTCCCTCCCCCCTAACATTGGCCCGAAGGGCACATTCATCTTCTTTTGTTAACTGGTCTCTGATGGGCTTTGTCTTCCTGAGTGTGAGCTGCTTTCAGTTGGAATTAATCAGAGATGCAGCCGTGATGAGGGCATCCCAGACACTGACAGCAGTTACATAAATGCTTCCTTGTTGCCGCCCGTGCTGGCGAAGGACAGGGTTGGAACAATGAGAGCTAATGATGGAACTCTGAAAGCTATCATTTTGAATCAGGCCATTACTTATGCTACCCTTCTGAAAATCAAGCCAGGCTCAGACTCCATGTCAGGTTAGCAGGCTTGGGCCTGCCCGGGGGCTCAGCAGGCCACATCAGACAGAGTGCTTTGGATCTCCATGGGGAAACTGGATGCTGGCATGGGATGACCACCAGCCAAGACATGTTCCAGACTGCACAGTAGGCTACGGTGTGTTACAGGCCAGCCTTGCAAACAGCCACATGCTGCTGGCTAGAAAGTCCCAGCCTTGTCTTCTGGCCAGTGTGGGAACCCCACAAGTCAGGAGCTCTCTCCAGGAATTCTTCCCGCATGTGCTTGGGGAACCTCTCTGTTGAAATCCTAGACCTGTCCAGGCTTCTCTTCTTACCATTCCATGCACTAGTATGAGTGATCTGGTTAGGCTTCAAAACACACCTGTACAGAAGCAGGAGTGAGCCTTGCTGAACCCAGCTCAGATTAGCAGAACCGCCCATCGGATCCAAAGACTCAGGATAAATAATACATAGCTGTTGCTTGAAGTTCTAAGTTTTGGGGTGTTTTATTATACAACAGCTAACAAGAGACAGTTGGGAGCCACTTGAGATTTTTGAGCAGAGTACAACCATGATGCAAAGCAGTGCTCCAGAAGCTTCATCCCACAGCAGCAGGATGAAGACGGGAAGGGAGTAAGGAGATTCTGGGAGGCAGGAAAACCAAGATGGAAGCCTTGCCAAGAAGGTCAAGAGGGCCTAAGCCAAGCCAGAGGTGGTAGAAATGGAGATACAAGAAACTCTGAAGAAATAGTAGCAGCAGACTAGATATGGATGGAGAAGGAAAGTGGACGGTGGTTGATGATGACTCTGTTGGATAGCTAAGTGACAAAAAGAGGAAGCAGGAAGAGTTGTGATGTCATACTTGAGAAGTCCATAGAATATGCAGGTGGGAAAATTTGTGCTTTGGGAAATATGGGACTGTAATTCTGCAGATGGGACCCACTGGGAAAAAGTTTCAAAAATATTTTCATAGAGGTGTGGTTGCAGGCATGACTCTGAGCAAGAGAAGATGGAGAGGAAATGTAGAAATCCAGGAAAGAAGCGTGACACCCGTGTGCTGGGTATATTAGTTATCTAATGCTGTATAACAAATTGTCTCAAAACTTAGCAGCTTAAGACTCAGGAGCCTGGGAGCAGTTTATCCGGGTGGTTCTTGCAAATGGTCTCCAATGTGGTTGTCATCAAAATGTTAAACAGGGCTGTTGTCATCTGAAGGCTTGACTGCAGCTGGAGAATCTGCTTCCAAGATGGCGCACTCATGTGGCTGATGGCTGGAAGCCTCAGTTCCAGGCCACGTGAAGATGATGTAGGGCTGCTCAAGAATCCTCAGGACATGGCAGCCAGCTTCCTCCAGAGTGAATGATCCAAGGTAGAGACAGTAAGGCAGATTCCACAAGTCTTTCAGAACTCGGCCTCAGAACTCACATACCATCACTTCTGCTGTAATCCATCAGTCACACAGACCAACGCTGATACAGTGTGGGAGAGGACTACACAGGGCACAAATGCCAGGAAGTGGAGATCAATTGGGGCCATCTTGGAAGCTGGTAACCACACTGGGGGCGGAGGGAGCAGATGAGCAAAACTCAGAAAGATGTGAAAGATAGTTTAGTCAGGGAAATGAGACTGTCACCTGGGAAGAGATCTGGCTCTCGACCCTGTTGCTTCATCTGGCACCTTAAATGGGCCCTTGATCCCCTTCAAAACACACTGCCTCCAGAAAGTGTGCCTGGTAAAGAAATTTTTTTCTCCATCCAACTGATTCCTAGACCACTTACCACATTGCCAGGCAATGTGCCAAGATTTCCCTGACGTTGGTACCACATCTCACCGTCTTATAGGTAGGGAAACTGAGGTTGGGGTTACCAGTCCACACAGCCAGTGTGACGTGGGGCTGGAATATGAACCCAGGTTGCTCAAATCCTGAGCCCTCGCTCTTAACCTCTATGCCGCCATGCTGAGAGTACAGGGATGCTTGTTCTTCTGCAGGAAGCTCCAAACAAGACAAACCCACATAGGCAACAAGAAGAAACATGAGGGATGACCCAACAGTGCCACAGAAGCTGCAGGAAGGCGAGGGACTGATGTCCTCCAAGCCCCTGGAGGGCTTGGCCAGGCAAAGAAAGAGCAAGAAATCAAGGGCTGCTTACCATCCTTGGGACTCGCTTTGTTCTCAGTGAGCTGCTCGACGAACTTGAGCAGTGGGGATCTCGACCTCTGCGTGGTGGGAAGAGCGGGGTCACCAAACAGTATGGTGTCTTTGCCTCCTGTCATGGAAAAGAGGAAAATGGACATATTATGTCACCACTGGAGTCACGGTCACACTCATCCCACACAAAGGACTGGCTGTTTGGGTGAACAAGGCACCTTCTTCAGTTGTAGGGAGTGCTGTGGGAGGGAAAGGGCCAGCATTGCCCTCTCTGCAGTGCGAGGACCCGGCAGAAACGTCCAGGGCCAGCTGTCTTTGAGTCCTAGAGTCTGCTTAGGACATGGCTGCCCACAAATGCCACCGTTAAGGGGTAGCCTGCTATGTCTGCCAAAAACTGAGTGGCTTTGATCTGGGTGAGACAATAACAATAATAACGACAGCAGTAGAGTGCTTTGAGCGCAGGCTCTGGAGCCACGCTGTAGTGCTTGTGTCCTGGACCCCATCGCTTGCTGGCTGGGCGGCCTTGGGCAAGTCACTGAACCTCTCTGAGCCTCAGAGCCCTCATCTGTAAAGTAAGGAAGAGTAACAGCACCCACCTCATGGGGTGGTAGTGATAAAATGAACTGATTCATGTAAAGCACTTAGGCATTTCGTCAGCGCTCAATAAATTTCACACATTGAATTATTACTTTATGGTGGAGACAGAACTGCCCTACACGTATCTCTGATTTCATTAGCTTTGGTCATTTAGATCGAATCATAAGTATGTCATAAGGCAGGTAGCATCAGGTTCCCTAAATGGTCACAGCTAAACTCTACTTAGGACATAGAGACCTGCACCAGCCAAAGCCTTTTATGGATTCACATGAACTCCCTGAGTGGATAGAGAAAGCCTGAGGCAAAGAGAAGGAGGAAAGGAAAACCACTACAACTCTACTTTTGAGGCCATGGCAAGGTGTGGGGGTGAGGATGAGGGAAGCGTGGCTTTGAAACACGAGCTGATGAGCACGGACACATGGACACAAGACACGCACACAGAAAGTGATGCTGCCCCAGGGATGAGGAGAGCCCTGCAGGTAGGATTTGATCCCAAACTCCTGCCCATGAGCCCTGAAGATTCTCTCGGCGGGAACCACCATGCCAACAGCAAAATCCCTGGGGGCCATGGCCCAGCCCATGCTCCAGCCTCAACTGTCTGACTTTGGATGACACCTTATCTGAAGCCAAGTCACTTGAACGTCTCTGGGGCTCAGATCAGAGGCTCTAAAGTTCTATGACTCTACTCAGTTTCAGGTTTGGCAGAGCACAGAATGGTATTTGGGTCAAGATGTCCACTCCCTTGGATAGCCAGGTGAACCTTGGTCTGTGCCTCGGAGCCCTCAACTTGTTTATAATACTACCCTCCCTGTAGGCCATGCACGTCTTATTAACTTGATTTCCAAGACTGTAGTAGAGAGTTTGGCGTATGGCAGGTGCTTCATGAACAGCTGATAACTGTGCATAAAATGGCTGATGCATTCTTGGAAATCCTGATGTCTTGGTGGGCATGGGGGCTTGCAGCTGCCACAGGCAGATGGAGTATGTTACTAGCAGCCATTGGTCTCTGGTTTCCGCTATATGAAGGTCATCCCAGAAGAGAAATCTGATAGGAGCTGACCCTGAAGTTCTCCACCAGCACAGCTATTGTCTCAAGTGGAAAAAGTCCCGAAATCTTCAGGACCACAGCCTGGAGAGGTTTCCCAAGGAGAATCATTTGAGCTATACCTTGGGATATTTTAAGAGGCTCTCAGAATGAAGTCAACCCAGTCAGGACTCTTTTGTGCTGCAAAGATAAAATCTAGAAACACCATGAGGAACTAATGGTCGTTATGAAGCCATAGCAGGTGCCGCAGGTGAGCTTCCTTTGTTTCTCTCCACCAAGGCAACAGTTACTGTCCTCAAGTCAGGGACGGGACTGCAATTCCTGACCCATCTTTCTCTAGAAGGTAGGCTGGAAGCTCTCTAACCGTAAGGGGACTCAGGAAGAGGCACACTCTGCACTCTGTGTCCCAACAAACCTCTTCCAAGTCCCCTCTGCCCTGTGGCCAAGGAATCAGAATTATGGGCAGAGTTGGGAGCTGGCTGTAGCCGAGTGACTAAGGCACCAGGTGGATGGTGCGGGGAGCCTCGGCCCTTCCTATTGTGAGGAATTCTCCAGGGCAGCATGTCTCCGTGGCTGTTTCCAACCACAGGGATTATCCACTCCGCAATGGCTCCTCAAAAACACTGGTACCAGCACATAGAACTTCTCCAAGGATCTGAGCAACAGGCATGCAGACAAGGGAAATAGAAGCCGCCATTCATCCATTTCCAGTCAAAGTAGGGGCTGGGGAGAAGTTAAAAACCTCCCTAAATCCCTGCCTGCAGAGATCATTTCCTTATCTGATGGTAAAATGCCAAGATTTGGTTTTTGCAAAATATTTGAAGAATTCAAAGACCTTCCTCAGAAGGCTCTCAGTTCTACTGTTTCCAACTAAGCCCGGATTCTATCTGTGTTGACTAAATTGAGCTCTAAACTGATGGTCTGCTATCTCCTAGTTGCACTTTGGCTCTTGGGACTGGGGAGTGGGGTGAGGGAGATCCACGAACTAGATGTGAACCACAACCAATGTAGGTCACACAGGCCCTTCCATTCAACTGGTGTTTGAGTTTCTGGAAGCCCTCCTCATTCCCTGTAATACAACGTCCCTCGTCCCCTTCTCCAAAATGTGCCAGTTACTTTCAAAATGCACATTTCCTCATCAGGCTGATGTTGAGAGTGGAGAACAGAGAATTCAAATAAAAAGCTCAAAGAGCCAGGCTCTGCTCTTGCCAGATTTTTTTCTGGCTTTCAGTATTTCTTTCCAGAGCATGAGCACATCCAGGAAATCTCCCGAGTCCCCCCCTTCCCCCCAAGCATGATTCTCACCTGCAGACTCCAGCATAAGGCTGGGAGAATGAGGCTGACAGGTAGGGGCTGAGGAAGGTGGAGGGTCATTCCTCCCTGAAGGGCATGGCCAACCAGCCCACCCCCTGGCTTCCTCAAAATAGCCCCGTGCCTTTCCCACTTCTCAGGGACCCGTTAAACAGTCTGGAGTACACTCTGCTTTCCAGATGATTTTTCCATGTGGGCTGTGACATCTGTTAGACTTGTCTACTTCCCAGCAAGATCACACATTTGGCCCAACTTTATCAGACACCATCAAGAGCTATATATTGTTGGCTGAGAGAGCGAGGCGGGAGGGAGAAGAGAGTCAAAGGAAAATCATAGCATGCTCCAAGTCCAAGAGTAATTCTGCCTTATAGTAATGAGTGATGGGCTCCTTCACAATGGTCCTTTAAAGTCTCAGGATAGATGGTTCCAGCTTCTGAATTTTTCTTCTCCAATTCAACTTGCTTTGAGAACCAATCCCCAGCTGATCTAATCTACACTCTACAACCCCCAGCCCCTGTGTGTGTCCCTCTTCTCTGAATTGTACTTCCCCAGTGCAGGTGGAACACTGAAATGAAGATCTGAACACCTGAGTTCAGCCTCTGTGGTCTTAGGTATCACCTAACTTCCTGAGCTTCTGTTTTCTTATCTAAAATGAGGGGATCAGACTAGATCAGGAAAGAGAAAAATGTTTTCTCTCACATATCTACTCTGACCAAGAGGTGGCTTCTTGGAAAGCAAAAATGCAAGACTGTTTTTAGGACCACATGTGAGATCAGCAAGCAGTGATGTGATTGATTAGCAATGCCTGCCACTGGCATGAGAATGGTGTTGGTTATATACACCACGCATTTGCCATCCTTGAACTTTTTGCTCTCATCTGTCCTTCTAAGTCCAGCATTCGATGACTTGGCACATTATTCCCTCACACACTAACATCTTTATCACTTAATTGATACTTAATTATGTAATATTTTGTGCTTTCTTTTCACTGTTTGATGCATATTCATCTTACTTCCCTAGTGGGACTGTAGATTCTTGGAGGGGGCGAGGGGCATGTCTAGAATGCCTGGTACAGGATTGAATTCACAAAGCTGATGCTCAGAAAGGTATCAGTATATTATGGGTTGATTTATTAGAGAAGCCACTGATCCTTTCAAGATGCTGGTAAATAAGAGAGAGCTAGCAATTCTCTGAAACCACTGGGACTCAATCCCCTCCAGTTGGCTGAAATCCTATGATTTGGCTCTTACTTGGGGAAAGAGGAAGAGGAAGAAGAGAAGAGAAAAGTGGAATAAGAAGAGGAAAAGGAGGTGGAAGAGGAAGAAGAGAAGGAAAAAAGAACATACTTCCTCTTGCTCCGCTATTCAGAAGGTTAAATGGAGACCACAGAACAATGAGCAGACAGGAGAGACTGGTCTGATTTGCACTAAAAGAGGCCACTCCCCACCCCCCAATCTCACCAGGGTTTGAAAATGATCGTAAGGTGACACCTCATTACAGCCCCCTTCATCACTGCACCAGGGCAGTGCTATCGCCATTACATAAACTGTGTCAGATCAGGGGGAATTGCCGCTCTTTATTTCTGTCTTCCCACTTTGTATCTATGTGGAGGCCAGAGATTAGAACAAACATGGCTAGGGCGTAAAATCCATTCAGTTACTGCCATCCAAACTAATTTTACCATTTAATATTTGCTTTGTGCTAATTGAATTCTCTATTTCAATTGGCTGTTCTAATCAGAAAAGTGCAAGGATACATAGAGAACGCATTTCTATTTATTTACATGCAGGGATGATATTAATGCACTGCTATTAGCCACAAACAAAGATATTTCAAATAGAACATACTCCCAAATCCTACGGAAACATTGTAGCTCAGGCACTCGTACAACAAAAAAAAAAAAAAAAGGAAAGAAACAACTGTTATTGCATAATAGCCATTCTAACCTAGACCAAACAACAGCAGAGATAGGAAATTCTCAGCATTCTTTCATTTATTCAACTTCCATCTTTTTACATAAGTTGTAGAAATAAAACATTGTGAAATCTCACTAAGTCATTTGGAGAGAAAAAAAAAAAAATCCAAACTCCAGTACATGAACAGAAATAGCAATCTGACTGCACAAATAAACGAAAAATTTGCCTGACTGTGTTGAAATTCAATGCAATAAAAGAAAAGCCTTCAAAGGAGATAAGGTTTTAACTGCATCAAAATGTTCTTGTGCAAAATGGATCATTCAAATCCCCAGGATGGCACTTGCCACTAATTAGGTCTGTTAGGTCTTTTGACATCAAGTTCAAGGAATCTCTACTAAAAACTCCAATTTATAAAACACACTTCCAGGCAACCTAAGGTGGCTATTCAGATTTATGTTAAGAAAGCATGTGGTTTTGTCCATGTCCCCGTGGCAATGTTAATTTCTCATCCATTACAAGGAAGCAACCAATATGATTTCAAGGGTAGAAAAGGGTTTGTGCAGAAAGGTTAAGTAACTAAAAATATTCCTACAAAGTTGTTTCCAGGGAAAGAGGAGGTGGTGGAAATGATAAATATAACTTTCTGGAGAATGTGAAGAGAAAGAATAGCTGACAGGGGTCTCACGGAGGGGGTATTTTACCAGGACAAATGGGTAAATATAGCTAATTAAAGTGAAACATCAGTTTCTTCACACCCTGTACAACTGCAAAAAATAATCTCCAGAGGAAGTTTTGATTTTCGATCTATGTAGCAAATGGGATTGGGGGGGGCGAAGAGAGAAGGAGGTTATAAAGTGCATTTGGGATAGACAATTGTTGGTTCTTATATTCATTTTTAGGGGTGATGATTAAATTGAATACATCTCTATAAGACACCTACAGGGAAAAAAATGAAGCAATTTACCATACTCGTAAAAGTTAAAAATAAAATATATACAGACATACAGAATGACAATTTCAGAATTTAGATTAGCAAAACTTCATAGTTCACCTTGCATATTTATTATTTTTTTCTGATTCCTCCAAAATGATGGCTTCTAAGTTTAAAACACTTGTAGATTTCTGAGCAACGATCATCAAATAAAAGAACATTAAAAAGGTAAAGTCTGCTCTGCAAATTTTCAAAACAAGAAACTTTTTTTTCAAAAAAAGAAAATTTTCATGAAGTTCTACTTACCTGGAAGACTCCACAAACCAGAAACTTCCAGAGTTCTTAATTTTTTCTCCAGTTCAGCCACCCGATTCCCTAGGATTCTGGAAAAGGGGAGAGAATGACAATAGACACCAATGAACATGGATCTCATCAGCTCTCAGGGCTGTGAGCAGGATACTTGGGAAGCCCCCTAGTGCCCTAATAGAGACAACATGTTTTGAGACTTAGATATATGCTAAAAACTGTGTGTGTGTGTTTGCTACACACACACACATACTCTATTGGAAGTACATATGAAAATATAAAGTGAATAATTAAAAATGATTTAAAAATTACTGAAATGTTGCCATTCAAGTGAATCTTCTCACACAAAGGTAGCTGCACAGCCAAACAATGATTCTACCATTGCCCAGACATCTTACATCATTTCTATTTGCTCAATGCTAAAGATGACACTTAATTTTGAATACTCTTACAAGTATCACACCCTGATTCTTTGAGGGTGGATCTGAGTTTCAGAAACAACCAAGTCTAACAAATAATATGAAAGAACATGCTTGGTAATGTTGCTTAGAGGTAATAAAATAATAAGATCTGCCTTCTTAGACCTAAACTATGGCTTACAGATGTCCATATCCTTGATATCTAGCATAATGTCTGGTAGATGGTAGGTGCTCAATAAATATATTTGATTAAATAAATGCTTTCCTTTTTTTCATGGCTTGTAATGATCTCCGGAGAGAATTTAAAAATAGGCATATCAAAAACTTTTCAGAAATTACAGAATCACTAGAATAATTACATTGCCTTCCAAGGTGCCCATTCTGACTCACTGTGATGTATAAGATCTAGAATGTGTATTTGAACAGATTACTCTGTTTACTTGGAAGCCAAACTTTGTCTATATGCATGGAAAGACATAAATGTGGGCATATATTTTCCCTCCTTCACTCTACACAAAATTAAATATAGTTGGGAAATGATTTGATAGTCATCTAAAACTTCAATCATTTTCCATTGGCCCGGAAATTGAAAAACCAGTCTTTATCTTTGGCGGATTTTCTTGGCATTGCTGTGCTAAAATGATGTAGAAATCACCTTAATAGCCAAGTTTCAAATCCTTTCAGCAGGAGAAACCAGAACACCAGAATTGTTCTTCTACCTCTCTTTATATTCCAGACATAGCTGCACACACCCACATACATACCGAGACATGAATATGTATATATCTCCACATATATATGTGGCTTTGAATTCATCCTTATTTTACCTGAATTCACTTGCGGCGTCTTAATTAATATTCCCTTTGAGTTCACAGAAAACTCTTTGACATGACTCTATGTGGTTTTGTTCATCTAGGTACTTAGAGTTTTCTTTTCTTCTTTTCCTTAAGTCTTAAATTCTCCATAGTTATCAATTACTTTCAATTTTCACTCTATGTGTTGGGTCTACTCTGCTTTCATGTCTCTGACCCCTCAATAAACACCTCTTTTCGTAATCTCACTTTCAATATTTTGCTCAGACCCTCTGATCCGAGCTCCCTTTTCACCAGCTGATGGGTCTGAGATGCAATCACAGCAGTGTTCAAGCTGATGCCTGCTTCTTAGCGAGATCAGATCATCTGTATGTGGCTGCCTCTTGGAAACAAAAGATAAGGCTTAACTCTTCTGTGGACAATGAAGAATGCCGTCAGGGCAACGTTCAAAGGCGTGGTGCAGAGACATTTGGCTGCATTTTTTCTGATGGTCCTGGATAACGCAGCCATGTCTCCCAGAAATGCACTGAGGTGAATTTGCTGGGGTCCCTAACAACCTACTCTCAGGGACTCTGCCTAAGTTTGTCAGGGCTGACTGCTTTCTTCTTTAGCCTGACATAAGCATCTGATGCAGGGCTGGAGGTGATAAAATGGACCCAGCAGAAGTTGTGGTAGTAGTAATAGTAACAATAATGCCATCAATAACAATAACAACTACACTACAGTTAACACAAATAGCAACTAATCTTTCCTGAGTCCCAGGTCTGAGTCAGAGCCTATGCCAAACACCTACTAAATATGCATTTTTTAATCTGACCTGGCAAAAACTCTGCAGCGTTGACTGTATTTTTATCCTCCTTTTACACGTGTGAACTCTAACAAACAGAGAGGTTAAGCAACTTGTCCAAGGACACACAGTTCATCTCAAAGCTGTGTCTTTTCCCAACCCCCAGTGTTCTCACCCACCACACTCGACTCCTCCCATTAGAAAACAGAGGCAGGGAAGTTAGTTAACTTAACCAAAACCTCATGTAGGACTCAGCTGGTGATGAGTCTGGATTTTTAACCTATACCTCAGTCTGCCTCCCAAGTACATGCTCTTAACCAATAACCCCCTAATGGCACTAGAAAACCAGCATTCTCACACCTAAAGCAAGTTCTCTTTAAAACCGTTCATAACTGATATATGGATGCAGCCATAGCTGGACTTGCAAAATATAACCCAAGATACTTCAAATGACAGAGAGTCTTCTAACTGGCCTCACACTGAACAGATATGGCAGGTGGTCCACGGAACGTGGTGTGATGCAGCCCACAGAGAGAAGGGGGTTATCTGAGTCTCAATAGCTGGCAGTATTCATAGATGGAGACAGTAGAAGTACAGACAGGGTCTGTTCAATGAAGTTCAACCAATCCAACAATTACTGAGGCTGTAGGGGACACTGAAGAGAAGCAGACCCTGTCCCTGCATTTAGGGACTAAAATTCTGGTGGGAGACAGACAGACGCACACAAACAGACACACACAAGGACAGTACCAGCGGGAGGCTTCAACAATAGCTGATCACTTGTTCTGTACCAGGTATTACTCTAAGCCTTGCACAAATATTATCTCCCTTAGCCCCTTGTGACAACAGATGAGGTAGCTCTTATTACGTTTATTAGAGGCCAACTAACTTGCCCTGGGTGACACAGCTGGTAAGTGGAGGGTCCCGAATCAAAACCCGAGCCTGGAAATACACAAGTCCTTCAGTAGAACTGTGGAGAGGACTGTGAAGATTAAATGAAAGATGAATCCAGAGCGGCTTGTAGGGACCGAGATCATGAATGATCTTGCTGCCATATGGAGAATGGCGAGACTTTTATTCATTGGCCACAAGGAGATATTGAAGGGTTGTAAGCAGAGAAGCAGCATAAGGAAGTTTAAGAAAACTGGTTTTGATGTGGGGTTGAGAATGAACTGGAAGGAGGATGAGTGGAAGCAGAAAGACCAGTTAGGAGAGTGTTGTACTGGGCGGTGATGACGATGGCTCAAAGGAGGCAGAGGGGATGCAGGGAAGCCAAAGGGATGGAGTAATAATACGGAGGAAGATGAGAAGTTGGAGGTGCCTACGGGATATCGGGGTAGACAGCTGCACAACTGGGAGACAGGAGGATCTGGGAGAGCGAAGATGAGAGTGTACGCTGGGGGTGGGTCTGCTCCCCAGCAGAATGTGAGATGTCAGAAGAACGGAGGGCCAGAGCACCACCCGCGGAAGGTGAGAAAGGACCAGAGAAGCACAGGCGGAGAGGGGAGAGGAGCGCCAGGGGCATGTGGGGAAGGGGAGAGAAGGTTCCCGGTGGGGCAGCATGGTCAGTATCGTCATTCTACAAGGTGGTCACACAGGATGAAAAAGGCCGCTAAGAAGACATGCCCCACCCTTGAGAGAGCTGTTACAAGACAGAGGAAGGGGTGAAATCCAGAATCCAAGTGACAGGGGTGGGAAAAGCTGCCTATGAGAAGGTTGAAGCAGTGAATATAGATGACTCTTCAAGTAGTTTAGCAGGGAATCCAAGGAGACAGCCAGGGCAGTAGCCTGAGGCATAAACAGGCTTGAGAGAGGTTTTTTTTGTTTTTTTTTTTTTTGTAGGACGGGAGAGATTTTAAAATAAAATTTTTATTTAGCGGTGGCTTGTTTTAGGATAGGGGAGATTTCAGCATATGTCTACCCAGTAGTCTAGAAAAATCCTCCAGATGCCAGGCTTCTAGAGAGATTTTCAGTAGTAGTTTCTGATGATAGCAACATCACAGGAAATCTGCAAAGACAGAACGAACCCAGGAGCCGGCCACCACTGTGCCGCTGTCCTTGCTCTCTGGACAACACAGCAAGCAAGAATCTCTGAGTGAGGGTCCTGGGGGGAGCCCGATCCCAAAGAGGAAGAGGTGGCCGTGGCCCGCCACAGACTGGAGAGAACTGTGCCCCCCACCTCCATCCCACGGGACCCTCTTTTGAATCTCTGCTCTGATCCCCGACAGCTCCCGCTGCTTCCGAGACCTTGAACTTCCAAGGTCTTGAACTACCACTGGCCAGGGAGTGGGGAGCGCAGTGAGGAGTTTTAGGCAAAGCACAGAGGGTAGCGAAAGGCCAGCGTATCCTCACGTACTAACCACCACGGCTATCACCCCAGCACTGGCAGAGTGATGGCTTGCTGGGAAGGGCTGGAGGACCAAAGGTGGTGTGCTGCGAGACACAACTCTTAACGTCTGTCTCTTCATTAATGCTTTGCCACCTGTTTCTAAGACAGTGAACCCCGCCCCTTCTTTAACCATAGCTAGACAACTGCAAACTCACAAGGAGTCCCTCAAGCAAAATGCTTATTAATTGAACTTCCTCTCAAAACAGAAAGTCCTAGGTTTATCCATCAGTGCTTCAAGGTGGCTCCCACTGGGCCTTCTCAGTGCCGGGGGGTGGGGGGTGGGGGGGCGGAGGGGGGGTGTGCCAGGCAGTGAAGAAGCAGTAGGGGGAGCACACTCTTACAGAACAGAGCACCTGTATTCCTACTTCTAATGCTCCAGACAAACAAAGCTATTTTTAAATCTTAGGTACAAAAGGCTCAATCATGGGGGACAACAGCAAGCAGACCAAATGCACATTTTATTCTTAGCCCTCACTCCATCTGTTGTATAATTCGTTTCTTTCCATACCCCCAAATAAAGCATTTATTGAAAGTGTGAAACTTAAGACCCTCGAAGGATTAAAAATGGCACATTAGGTACTTTATGTACTGATATGAGGCAATCTTCAAGATCTATTGTTATGAGAGAAGAAAGCAAGGTGGAAGACAGTGAAAAAAACTTTTTCTGATGAATACTAGCTGCCATTTGTAAAAAAAAAACTAAAAAAAAAAAGAAAATCTATGTCTATATAAATATATATGAGCATTTATGTGTGTCTATATAAATGTACTATGCGTTTGCTTATATATGCATCCTTGGAGAGGATACATAAAAAAGGAGGAATGGTGGTTTCTTCCAGGCAGGGGAATCGGGTGGCTGACAGATAAAAGTAGTTTGGAGATATATTGTTGCTCAACCTTTTAAAACGTAAATCAACAGATGGTTCAAAATTATTAAATAGTAGTTAAAAATGGAAAGGTACATTAAAAAAATAAAGCCAGCAAAATGAAAATGTCTGTCTCTCTCAACAGAGGGCGAGAGCCCATGGCACCTGGGGATGTGTGTGGTTGCAGTGGAGTATGGGAGGAACATATAAGGAAATCAATCTGTCACAAGAGGCGGGAGTGTCAGGCCAGCAGCTTGGGGATACTGAGTTTGGCAGGCGGTGGGACTCAGCTGGGCTTTTCGGTGGAGGCTTGTGTCGTGATAGGCACTGTAGCTGGCAGGTGGGTCTGAGTGTGGCTGGGCAAGCAGTGGAGGAGGTGAGCTGGGGTCTGAGGATGGAGGGTTGATGGGAGGATCTTCCCAAGGACAAGGTAATGGTCTGGTGGGAAGGAAGAAGAAGGGGCAGGTAGGAGATGTACACTGAAGGACCTTGGCAAGCACTCAGGAAATATATACTGAATAAGTGAATGAATGCATGAAAACCATAAAACTTAATGCCTGTTTGCATGTGAGTATTAAGGGAACAGGAACAAAGGGTTAGAGGACATTCAATCATCCATTCATCAAGTAGTCACGAGCACCCACTGCGGGCCCAGCACTATCCGACATACTGGGAGAGAACAGTGACCAAAGTGGACAAACATACTGGCCCTGGGACAGCTTCAACCTGAGTGAAGTGGAAGTTGGTCAAACCTAGGTATTAGGATGGTGAGCAGAGCACGTTAAATATTCTTCAAATCACGCTTTAAATGGCTGCATGGTATTGTGCCTTATGGATTTACGGTAATCTTAACCATTCTCCAATTTAAAAATGCTTGGGTTGTTTCCGTTTTTTTCACTCTTATAAATGAATCCACAGTGAACCACCTTATGTATAAACCTAGGGCATCATTCTGATTTTTTTCTTTAGGATAAATTCCTAGAAGCGGACCCTCTGGGTCAAAGGGCACAAGCATTTCAAAGTATTTAAAATGTACTAAGGGATGGATGCTCCAGACTCTAGACTCATTGAATCTGAGTGATTCAATGAGGGTGAGAAAGTGGGGTTTGGGGGTACTGGTGACCTCCAAAGGAAGATTGCTATGGAAAATTCACAAGAGGTCTTGGGAGGTGTTGAAGCGAGGTGATCTTTTATTCCTGCCCAGTGGCATCACTGGGGGCTTTGCTAAAATCCAGAATCCTGATATTCCCTCCAGAAACCCCTCTAAATCTGCATTTCTAAACAAGCACCCCCTCCAGGTAATTCTAACACAGGTGCCCCCCAGAACACACTTTGAGGGGGTGGCTATTGAAGAAGTAGAGGTGGCCTCTTGTTCACAAAGATTGGAGGTGAGTGGAGCTCACGGGAACCCTTTGGGGGGTTCAGGAAGACCTGGGAGGTTTCCGGGTGAAGATGCAGAAGCAGGACGAGGGGCAGAAGTTGAAGAGGTTGAAAGAGGAGGTCACAGGAGAGCTGGGACCCAAAGGAGGGAGGACGGTGTGGACCAACAGGACAGTGTGTTGGTGTGCTTCCCGGAGACTGGAGGGATAGGATGGAAGACATTGCTTTGGCGGGAGCAGCAAGCCTTGTGGCTCAGGATAGGCAGGTTTGGTTTTCTCAGTAAAAGAGGAGCTGAGGTCACCTGCTGGGAACAGACTAGGGTTTAGAAGACCTGAGGAGGTTTGAAAGAGCCCCAGTGGGTGCCTTATAGGGAGCTGGTGAGGACAGAGAAGGCTCCTGGGGACACTGCCGGGGGCAGGGGAGTCTACCTGAATAAAACAGACCTGGTACCTATTCTGGGGAGACTCCCGTGTCTTCGTCCTCCCCCAGAGGCATATCTCCATTTTGGCATCTGGCTGTTTCAGTCCTTGATTAAGATTTCTTTCAAAGGAATTTTTAGAACTTCTTCTGTCAATAAATTACCCCTGTCATCCCTTTGAGATTGCCCAGACTCCCTCCACTGCTCTCTGCCCTCTTTTATATATATCTTAATCTCCTGCTCAATCTTCCCTTTACTCCCGGCCTCTCTTTTTGTTATTTTGTTTTTACAATACTCTCCATCATTTTCCAGTTGCCTCTCTCCTTGCACCCCGCCTCGCCGGGCCCCCCATTCCCTGACCCTTCCCTGTTCGTGCTGGAAGCCCAGCCTTGGGCACTTGCTCCTGTATTCCACGCTTACATTTTGCTTCCACGTGTAGGTCTTATAAGCAGGACCAGCTACATAATTGGCAGAGCTCAGAGCAAAATGAAAACTCAGGGCCCCCTTATTCGAAAAAGATTAAGATTTTCGAGATGGTGACGCAAAGCGTTGATTAGACCAGGTGCAGGGACCTTCTGGGCACTGGGCCATGTGTGACTGCATGAGTCTCTGGTCCTCAAAGCTGGCCCTGTTTGCAATGTGTTTTGCTTTAGTTTATTGTTTATTCACCGTTCTCTGAACTCTTCCAATTTTGCTTCTGTTGTCCTGACCTGCTACTTTAACTTGCTTGATTTTGCCCAACATAGTCAACATATCTATAGTAACCAAATAAGACATTCTGTTTTAATTATTGTTTTTTTTCCACCATCTTTTTTGCTGATCTGGAAAAGTGGCACGAGACTCCATTCTAGGCCCAGCTGCCTGAAAGTTGATGTTTGGGTGTTCCTGCTATTCAGAGCCCAAGTAAGCTGTGCTGTGAGGTTAAAATGGCACGGGGAGGTGCCTCCCCTAGAGAAGATGTGGAGGAGAGTAGATTAAGTTCCCCCGGGCAAGCATACCATCAAAATCAGCCAGGTAATATGCACTAGTCTGTGAGTGGCTCAGAGTAAGCATTCAATAAGCAAGAACCAGTATTATTTCCATGTTGGTTCCAGCTGAGAGCCAAGATGCTGTCATAATGCAGAAGCACAGTTCTAGCTCAATAAGTTTCCCTCCAGATTTAAGGGCTCTTCTTCCCTTAAGGCCGGCAGGCCCACCACCTGGTTGCCACCCACTGCTGAGAGTCATTGTCTCACATATCTCCTGCACCCCACCCTGCACCCCAGGGTCCAGCCACCTACTTGTTGGTCTGCCTCTGGTGCTGGATCACCATGTTTTTCTCATGGATTGTCTCCAACAGGGCTGTTGCCAGAGATTTCAGATCAGAAATGGACTGTGGAGTGGCTGGGAGGCTGCACCCGTGATCCTCAGATAACAGATCCTGAACTGGGTGGGATATAAAATTTACAACTCAGTCTTAAATCCTTCTGGAACGTTGGAATGCAAACCAATGTCAGTTCTTCCTGGATAATGAAGCTGGGATCAGTTCCCGGCTTCCACACGCTACTGTGTTGTAATTGAAGAGTCCACTTCAAGTGTCAAAAGTGAAAAAAAATAAAATTTAGTGTGAGGGTTAAACAGAAAGGAGGAAGTACTCATGGACTTTTAGCAACACCTTTTATTTAAAGGATAATAATTTTTTGCATTTGTCCAGTATTTTATGCTTTTGAAACACTCATGCTGACTAACTCATTTGAGGCTTCGAATTTTAAAAAGAACATGGAAAATGTTATTTATTCCCATTTCATGGACAGAAAAGCAAGGTGCTGATGGATTAAAAACATTAGCTGAAGGTCGCACAGCAATGCAAATGCAAATGACTCTAGTCCTGAGCTCCTGGCTTTATATCACAGCTTCCCACAGTACCCTTGGTGGGTGGTAAGATAACGTAGGAGATTATTTAGAACACAAAATATATTTTGTATATGCATGTTTTTAGAAACTAAGAGATAACCCCAAAAGACCACAACCACTTGTATTCCTATGAGACAGAAAAAAGAAGAAATAATATAAATCTCTCATTATATGTCTTTGAACACCATTTCCTATATGCCTATATGCAGACACACAAATTCACACATTTCTCTCCAAAAATGGGAAAAAGCTCTGCTTTTTTCACTTAACCTTATGTCTCACCATGAATATCTACTGAAATCTAAAGTGTAACGGCTGCTTGGTAGTCCATGCATAGATCTACAGTAGTTTATTTAATTGCTCCTGGACAATTATGTTGTTTCCAATGTTTTTTATTATAACTAACGTAGGAAGAACTTTCTTGAGGCAAAATGCTTGCATATGTCTGTAATCATTTCTTGTTGGCTCAAAGGGGATCAGTTTAAGGCTTTTTATAACAGAGAACCAAACGGTTCTCTAGAAAGGTTGTGCCTGGTTGACGGCTCTGCCAGCGTGTTTGAGTGTGGCTAGCATTCCCCAGGTCGGTGACGGGACTGGGTCTCAACATTCAAACATCCAACATTCAAAGGCTATCAAGGATATCCAGAGCTACACTTAGATGGGCTACTTCACGTTTGTATAGAGGGTGTCCTTTTCTAGTTGAGTGAAAAAAAAAAAAAAGAAGTTGCTTGGAAAAGTGCCTTGATTATTAGGTAGTCTGGAGATTCACCATTTTTTGTTAATCCCCCGTAGCTCTGATGAGGACTGCCACGTGATCCTTGCTGGTCTGCACTGCCAACAAGCCCAAAACAGGCCAGTCCAGCACGATCCACTTGAGGATCATGGTTAGAACTGAATTCCCAAATATTAAGTGTCAGAAGCAAGCTCTCTGCTATTTATTTCCCCTGACTCTTCCTGGAAGATCATTATTTTTCATTGGAATCGACAAGAAGGAGGAACAAAATTGCAATCAATAAAAGCTTCTTTAGAGCTTCCCTGGTGGCGCAGTGGTTGGGAGTCCGCCTGCCGATGCAGGGGACACGGGTTCGTGACCCGGTCCGGGAGGATCCCACATGCCGCAGAGTGGCTGGGCCCGTGAGCCATGGCCACTTAGCCTGCGCGTCCGGAGCCTGTGCTCCGCAACGGGAGAGGCCACAGCAGTGAAAAGCCTGCGTACCGCAAAAAAAATAAAAAATAAAAATAAATAAAAGCTTCTTTGAAAAAGGCACATGTGCCATGGTAAAATGACTTCAGCAGCTGTGAGACTTTTCTAGTCTGATCATAGAGGCCAGGAAAAGGAGAGACTCAATGAGGATGGAACAGACACTTGGAGGTGCTAACCTGGTGATTACAGAAGGGAAAACATTCTGGAAAGAGGAGCATAGTTAGGGGAATAGATGCAAATGGGGTCCAGTCATTAGAGAGACCTCTAAGGCAGCGGCTCTCAAAGCAGGGTCCCCGAAGCAGCATCAGCATTATCTGGGAACTTTTTAGAAATGCATATTCTCCGGGCTCACCCTAGACCTAGTAAATCAGAAACTCTTGAGGTGGGACCCAGTAATCTGTGTGTTAATAAGCCCTCCAGGCAATCCTGATGCAGGTGGAAGTTTGGGGGTGACTGCTCTAAGGATCACTTCCATTCCCAATTCAAAAAATGAGATGTGGGCCCACAGTGCTAGCATTCTGTGATCATAGGTGGTCCCTCCCAGAAAATGACCCCTACCTTGCTTTGCAGACAGGACTCCAGTCAGAGCACTGCTGCTGGATTTACCCTGGCCTTTTGAGTTTTTCCGTCTCTCAAGAGCATTCTAAAGCAGCATTGGGAGAAAACAAAAACCTCTGTCAGAAAAGCCAATAATGGAAAAATACCTAATTCCGGTAGATGCATCCTCCCATCCAGCACACAAGAACTCTTTACAAACTCCAAATGCTAGCCCAACTTTTAAAATTCAGAGTCCCTGCCAGAGAGTTATGATTTTTATGGACCTGGTAAAGAGTTTTGTTTTTTTCTTTTTAAGTTGGTGCCCAGCAGAATTACAGCAATTATATCCTCCTATATATAGAAGGTACTCAATGCATATTCGTTAAACTAAATCAAATCTGAAGCAAGAACTCAGTCTAATGTGTGAAGTCACTAGTTATGGAAACCCCTTCCAAACAGACATGAGATGGAGACTAGGTTTACTTTCATGGAGCAATGCCAAAAGATCATTAGTGGTGTCTGGAAGGTTTCTGTGGCTGGACTGGAAGAAAAGCCATGATTGATTAATGAAATCTGCCATGGACTCAAGGTTAAGGAAGTGCATATGTGTCATTCCTAGAACAGAACGTTACATTAAAATTGATATGTGCTACACAGCCAGTGCTTGGCACATAGAAGAACTGAATAAATGTTGTTAAGTGAATGCATATACACATTTTTTAAATTATGTATTAATTATACAACTTTAAGAGCTGTATTCTTCTTTGGCTGTGTGTGTATATATAGATGGGTGTAAACTCAAGTGGGGCCCCCCCGCCCCAGATTGTTAAAGGAGGAACAGCATGGAGACTTCTGAGAAAAAAGTGAACGTCAAAAGCCAGGAATATGAGATGGCTGCCCCAGCACAGAGACGGCTGCAAAACTTCACCCTCAGGAAGAGAAATCAATCTATTTTCAAAGCAGAGAAACCCAGGAGATTTTGCTAATTATAACACAACTAACATCTGCAGAAACATATTATCTAACGAATGGCACTGGAATTACACTAAATAACAGTGGGGAGAATTTAAACATTCTGTCCTTTTAGTGTGACGTGAACATTATCGTTTAGATTGTGATTTCCCAATCTTTGTTTCTTCATTGCTCAGAAATCATTTTCTTATGGATGATTAGGAGACAAAGAACATCTGATGACAGAACACTTTATAGAAAAGCTGGATAGGAAACCTAATTTAATATAGGCCGAGGCTGTATAGTGGTCACATCCAGATTCTGGTGGTCTCAGTGTGCCCTGTCCAGATAACAGAAGCAGCTCTTGCAAAACCTGTTTTTGTTGTGTTTGCCGTTTGGGGTTTAATTCTTACTGGTTCCTCAGTTAAAGCTCTTATTGAACTATCTGGGAGGGCAGGCAAGCACTAGAGTATCTTTGGCACATAAAAGGGAATTAAAATAGAATGACACTTAGATGTACAATAGTGAATCATCACCGTCACCATCATGATTTTCTACCTTGTATTTGGCAATGTTAGATTTCAAGAGGTTGACCTCTTCATGAAGTTGCTTTAATCTCTCTTGAAGGTACCTGAAAAAGAATATATACAACTAGGAAGAGTTTGGAAGCAAAATAAAAAACATACACTCAAGTAGGAGAGGATAAAAAGAAAACCACACACCCAAAGAGCCGCCTTTTACCTACAGTGCCTTCCCACCACTGAAAGCAGAAAAAGTGCCCCTTGGTGACCTCTTCTTAAATGGATGTGATCAAGGTCAAGTACGCCCAAATCACTGAAACCTCACTTTAGGACAGCCCTCTGCCGAGATCCCCTGAGGGATATCAACACAGTTTTCACATAATTCTCATTAAGATGATCCCACTGGGAAGCAAGGCAGCAAGAGGCAATACCAGACACAGCATTAAGTTAGTCACATACACACACTGAAATTTGCCTCTGGGAAAAGAGACAGCTAAGGGAATTTCTCAATTTATTTTTTTATTCTTTTCTGTCTTCTTGATAGCAATAATAAGCAGCTTTCACTGGTTCCCTACCCTTCTCACCCAACCGGGGAGGGCAGGGGGAAAGAGGGTATGGATGTAGGCATGTAAGCATGTGGTTCTTCTTTTCTTACTGCTACAACTAACGTGTGACATTAATATCATTGTTTTAGGGTTGAGACTTTCCTTTCACTGTAAGGCTATTTTCTTAAATGTAAATAGGGCTGCAAATAACTCCCAGCCTGCAGGCAAGTGGAGAGCCAGCATCCTACCCCAGTGCGGGCCTGGGACTGGTCACTTACCTGTTCTCCATACACAGGGCATCCACGTCAATGATTCGGTTCTCGTGGCCGCTCAGGATGTGGTTTAGCTCCTGGTTGAGCCTCTCGACTTTGTCCTGGTAGGAAGACCGCTCTTCTTTAACATCCTGAAGCTCGTCCATAGAGGCCTGCAGGTCATGCTCCAGAGACTCAATCTGAAACCAAAGAAGTGCCCTTACTCAAGGTATTCTGCAGGCATCAGCTTTATGGTTAGCGACGAGCCTTCCACTTGGCTGACTGACTTTTAGAGAGCTTATTAATACCAGTGTCTGCTATAAAACTGTAAGTGCCACACATCGGAATATGATAAAAGCTAAAAGCAAGGAACAACTTCCGGCCAGACACTTACTATATCCAAGATGAGATGGATTGCAGCAGCTTGGAAACACAGAACTGATCACTTACCAACTGCAGCCTGCCCTAAAGCCAGGGGCTCGGAGAGGGCAAATCGAGATATTGGGAACAACAGCCAGTGTCTTACAAATACATACTTTTTCAAACCACTCTAGACCCAGAAATCATGTTCTGCTCTTCAAAACCAATTAGTGAGAGGAGAAAAACGAAGTCTAGGCTCTCTAAGCTGTTCCCTAACTAGGGCTCCGTACCCGTTGAGATTTTGCCTAAAAAGCATCCACTCAGCATTTCAGTGGAAACTTGCAAATTAAGGCCAGTCTGTCATGTTTGTTCTCTCCCTGTCTATCCTGGTTATGGGGGAGGTTTCTTGTTGTGTTCAGAACAATGGCACCCAAAGTAAGAGAGCAGACCTGCTGGAAGACAGAAATGCAAAAGGCTGCTTGGGAACCTAGCAGTAAATGCATTCAAACTGCATCTTCCTTCCTCCTCTAATCGCGTTCCAAGCACCCCACAGTCTCTGAGAAACTGGGGCACAGTCTACTCTTCTCTGTGTCACGCTCAGCTGTGCAAACATATCCCCCACTCATAACAGATGTTGGCGATAACCTGTTCCCTTGCTCTCTCCAGCTGCTGAACCAAATCTTCACGCTCATGGGCTGCAAAGTGCCGCACGCCGATTTCTTCGTCTCCCAGCCTCTGTTTGGCAATTGTCATTCTCAAGAGCTGCATTTTCCATTGGTAGAAAAAGAAGAGAGAGAGGGAGAGAGAGTTAAAATGAATAGATCCAAACGAAACCCCAAGCATACTAGGCAGAAAGTGTTGGAAGTTAAGATTTTCCAAGAAATACTGGAGAAAGGCACAAGACAAAGAAATTTCTTGCCAATATCATTAATTAAAAAAAATTTTTTTAATCCATATTGTATGTACAGACACATGTGTGCACACATACACCTATAAGGCTAACGGGAACACAGGCCTGGGCATCTGAAGGGGGATAGCCTGTTTAGCCCTGCCATAGTGAGGGAAAAAAACTCTGGGTCTCTTTTAAATTTAGCAAAGATTAAAAAATGATAACACAATGTTGTAAAGTATCTGCTAAGATGGGCATGCTCCCACATTCTTAACAGTTAGGCTATGTTATCAAGAGCCTTAAAAATGTCCCTATCTGACTCTTGCATCTCAGTGCTAATTCAGATTTAAGCCTAAGTAACCTCATCGCCTCTCACCCCATGAATGCTGACAATGGATGAAATACTTTGCTGTAGTTCCGGACTTAAACGCTGGGGAAGAAACTTAATTTTCTTTTTTGCACAACTCAGGAAAACAGCTACTGTGCAGAGTTTCCTTTCTGACCTCAGCAGATGAACTGGACTGACCAGTGTTAATTCAGATTTAAGAAATTATCTGAATCTTGGTTTGAGTAGATTCGGGATCTACATGCAATATTAACTTGATCGGATACCTTTTATATTTTCACATGTATACATAGGCTCTCCTCACCCTCATCAACATCCATTAGTTACTGAACTCTGTGAACTGGCACTGAAACATTACAATGTTTTTGTTGCTCCAGTTTTGTAAAGTTATACAGTGCAATACCTGTTACTTTTCAGAGACAAACCAAAGGTTAATTTCTCTAGGTTCTTGCTGTTTGCTTTAGCAGCATTTGATGGAGGATCTTTTTATATATATATACATTTGTAATAGATGAAAAATAAACCAGATTACAAATCCCATTTTTTTTGAAGCAAACCATGTATCAGGTTTTTAGTCCAAATTGTGTAGTATAAGTTAAATTGCATTCTATTAACCCATATGAGTGTATTTCTGTACCCATAGTTATGTTGAAATAAAGTTTTAAAAAGCAAAAAAAAAAAAAAAGTCCCTATCCAATGATCCAGTAACTCTACTTCTTATAATCTGGGCTAAGAATAATCCCAGACATGGACTAGCTTTAGGAAAAAAGAAAAAAGTAGACTGTGCTGTTATTTATAGAAAGAGTAAAAAAACAATAGAAACAATGTCCAACAATAGTGGAATGGCTAGGAAATGATAATGCAATCAATCAACTGATTGATTGTTTGATCAATCAATCAAACAGCAAGTTTCCAGCTGTTTAAAATGAGGTTGATGTGAACTATGTAGTACCATGGACATGCGGATGCTGCCACACTAAGTGGGAAAAAAAGCAGAAAACTAACTTGAACACGCAGTTTGGGGACTTCTCTGCCAGTCCAGTGGTTAAGACTCCATGCTTCCACAGCTGGGGGCCTGGGTTCAATCCCTGGTCAGGGAACTAAGATCCCACAAGCCACACAGTGCGACCAGAAAATAAATAAATAAATATTTTTAAAAAATGTTTAAATAAAGGCACTTTCCTGGCAGTCCAGTGGTTAAGACTCCGAGTTTCCAATACAGGGGGTGCAGGGGGCACGGGTTTGATCACTGGTCAGGGAACTAAGATCCCACATGATGTGCGGCACAGCCAAAAACAAAATATGCAGTATGATTGAAATTATACTAAGAACCCACATACAAAAGAAAAAAATTACCAAATACACTAAAACCCTTAAATGTGTAAGTTTAGGTGATGCAAGACTGTGTATGCTATCTGTTCTTTGTTTTCTAACTTTTAAAATAAATATACATGACTTTCATAACGTACTTTTTAAATGTTTTAAAATCCCTAGGAACTAAATTCTAGTCCTAAAAGTGTAATTTTCCAAAGCATCCCTGCAGAACCCTTGGCTTTCCCAGTCTCTGGGGCCGAGCTCCATGTGCAGCTCCAAACTTTCCAGTAGGGCCATGATGGAAACTATGTTAGAGACTCCAGGAAGGTCCAGTGGTCCCAGAGCATCCCCTACATGCCCTTCAGTGCCAAGCAGGTGGCCATTAAAAAGTGCTTTTTTGACTTTACAGCACTGCTTCTTGATGCTTCTTCGAAGGAGGTCGCAAGACTGATTCCTCCACCTCCCTGTAGGGTGGGTGTGTGCAGATGGGCTTCATATATGGATGAAATCCTGGGGACAGTTTTTTGCTGCCACACAGATCCAACCCATCCAGGAATCCCTGCTGGGGTATGCTCTCCCTCGTTCCTGCGTGGATTCTAAGGGATTTGTTGCCAATAGAGAAAATGGCTTTATTTTTCAAGTCCCTAAGGATTTAGGGGCAGGTGAGAAAGTTAAAAGCCAAGGTAGAATATTAACTATATAGGAATAATAAATAACAGCAATGAACTGTGCAGGAAATGATGACTACTGAAAAGTAAAGAGCATTTTCAAATGACACACATATATATATATATATATATTTTACATCTTTATTGGAGTATAATTGCTTTACAATGGTGTGTTAGTTTCTGCTTTATAACAAAGTGAATCAGTTATACATATACATGTGTTCCCATGTCTCTTCCCTCTTGTGTCTCCCTCCCTCCCACCCTGCCTATCCCACCCCTCCAGGCGGTCACAAAGCACCGAGCTGATCTCCCTGTGCTATGTGGCTGCTTCCCACTAGCTATCTACCTTTTCGTTTGGTAGTGTATATATGTCCATGCCTCTCTCTCGCTTTGTCACAGCTTTCCCTTCCCCCTCCCCATATCCTCAAGTCCATTCTCTAGTAGGTCTGTGTCTTTATTCCTGCAAATGACATATATTTGGGGTCCTTATTTGAAAACTAGTCAGATGAACTGGACATATATTTATTGTGCATCTACTATGAGCAAATGCATCATTAGGATCAGCACACAATGTTCCAAGCAGGTGGAACAGCTTGTACAAAGGCCTAGCAGGGGACATACGGCACTTAGGTACACAGATGGCCATGCTTAATGGAATCCCCATTCCAAAGCTCAAGGATTCTGAATTTGTATACTTGCCTAATGCAAATTTATTTGTAGTCTCGAAATCAGCATTCATGGTGCTTTTGCATCATGAGGGGACATGTGCAGATAAACACAGAGCTGCAAAAACTGGGAAGCATCCCACAGGAACGTTCCCAGCTAAAGTGGAACAAGGCAATGCTCTGCTTTCTTGTTTTAGCTCATACTGTAAACAAGTGTCCTTTTCATGGTTTCTTTCGTGCCACTTTTTTTCACATTTTTGTGCTTTCTGTTGGTGTTTTGCCATTTAGAATGGCCCTCCTGTGCAGTGCTGGAGTGTTGTCTCGTGTTCCTGAGCACGAGAGGCCATGATGCGCCTTACAGAGAATATACGTGTGTTAGATGAGCTTCCTTCAGGCACGAGTTACAGTGCTATTGGCTGTGAGTTCAATGTTAAAGAATCAACAATATAAATTAAATAGGGTGACTTTAAAGAGAAACACATATAAAACAGTTCTATATTGATCAGGTGACAAAAATATTGTGACCAGAGGCTCAGAGGAACCTAATCTCCTATTTCCCCTAGGAACAATGGTTCAATATTCCCTAATTCAGTGTTTGCAGTGATTTTAGAGAATGTAACTATAGCAAATGTCAAGAAGCGGCTGTATTGTGAGAGGAACGGAGTTTATGTCAGAACTGGTTAATTTACCTGAAAGCCGATATGTGAAAACATCTTTCACATCACAGTCTTGGCTCAGGACTTTCAGAACCCCAGGTGAATACACAGAAAGACAAACAGCTAACCAAGTAAGAAACATTTCTCAGATGAAAGGGTCTAGGAACAAGAAGGCCTGTGCCACTTTTGGCATGAGGCAACAGGAGGTCTGCAACACGGCTTTGAAAGCGGGGCGCTTTTCCTCGTATGTGAAAAGCCAGACTGACAGCCTGAACTTTAAGTAATAAAACACCACTGAGGTTTTCCATTCACAGTACGCTTCGCCGAACACTTAATTTAGAATCACACAATTATGTTTGCTTAATGCCAATTAATTATTAAACATGTTTATTGAGGTCTGACAGCCATATAAGAGAGTCATCTTTTATATACTGGATGCCTGTTAAGCTTCAATAAACATGTTAACAATCATTTGGTGTTCAATGTGCATACAATATCGGCTATTAAATCTCAGGGCTGGACTAGATGAAACACTTATTTTTAAAAGTGAGGCCCAAGTTGGTAAAAGCTGGATCACTGGTTGGGTCTGACACTCAAGTTCAATCAGCTGAAGGGGCCCAAGGAGGCCATCGCAATAGGGATGGCAGCCCCAGGGAGAGTTCTCTTGCCTTCCCAGCTGACAGCTGATGGGCTCTGGAGTCCATCTGCCAGGGGGCAGGGGGGTGTTCTGGGGCCAAGTTCGAGAGCTGTGCAATCTCAGGTATATGCCTGAACTTCTCTGAGTCTTAGTATCCTTCACTGTAAGAATATGACAGTAACAGTACAGCTTTCTACTGGCCAAGGTTGCTGTAACTGTTGGGGCCCAGAGTAGGCTGCCCCCAAATGTGCCTCAATGGCATATTTATTATTTTGAATTAAAGTTACTTAAGAAATGCCCAACACACGAGGGACACTCTGACCCTCCTTTCTGTCACCCCGAAAGCAGGAAAAAAAAAATCTCTCATGTGAAGGGTGCCCTCCTGCATCTGGAGGTAGAAGGATGCCCTTATCGCCAGAGATGGGGACTTGGGCGAGAAACCAGTATAAACAAACCCTGTTACTGCTTTAATTTACTACCCCAGGCCCAAACTCGGTTTAGATTCTTCACTAATTGGGCAACCCGAACCTAAGTTTCTTTGTCCTGTCAACTCCTCCCAAATTTATTATTTCTTTGTCTAAAAAGTA